ATGGCCCAGTTACATATGATAAATTAACTAAAATATCTAAATCAAAACCGTGCAATACTTTTGTCCTCCCCCGGTACATCGTACAAAACAGTTCACCACTCGGCAGCGGCAAGTAATTTTAAAATGGTCGGTATGCTATTAAAATCACGTTACGGATCGTATGACTTACACAGTCTCTTAACTCGATTTTAATACTATATGAATGACAGTAACATGTTAACTAACGAAGATTGACATCATCATATAGTAAACTTTCTAATTATGAATGACATTTTAATTTTCGTGATTTAAATTTTTTTTTTTTACCAGAATAAAACTGCTCGTGAATGCGATTTAAGGAATTGCTATGTATGAGGCGCCGTCCTGTTCAAAAGTCCAGTATTCAACCCGGATTATTTTTGGATAAACCCCCGGACGATCCCTCAAGATCCGGGATAAGAATACATATTTTTCTTTGCATTTCTTGTCTTAGTTTCCTCACGGATGATCTTTTGATAAGTTAATGTAGAAATTAATTCATTAAATTTAACAAAGGGTCATATCATATCTTCCGTTAATTTTTTTTGTTTTGTATTTTGAATTATCAATTCAAAAAAAAATACATACGCTACTGCGCCACTTAATCGAGAAAGAAAAAATTTTGGTTAATTTTTTTAAAAATAATAAAATAAATAATATATTTAAATTATCAAATTATCAAAAAAATTTATTTTTATAAGCTATTAAAAGGTTTTGTGATAACAATATAAGTCGTGAATTATAGAGTTGATAGATAGATAGTATCTCGTGAAATTTAAGGTATTAATCCATGGCATCTGACCTCATCCGGAGGTTGAATCCTGGATTTTTGAACAGGACGACGCCTCATAGCTATGTCCCTTAATCCTTAAACTGAAAATTCATGAGCAGGTGTTCGCGATGTTCCCTTTGGATACCCCCACCCCATCCTTGGATCCTCGGTCGACATCAATCCTGTTTTTTACTATATTTAATTAAAATTAACGGTGCATAGCATAATTAAAGTTCGATATCTATCTTTATGAATTAGAACATAAATTGTTTAATTTAATAAGTAATTTCTAAAATTAATATATGGAGTTTTGCCAGAAAATGGGTCTCTGAGAATTTTATAATAAAATTTTATTTTCATTGCATTTTAATTTTTGCAATAAAAATTAAAAATTTTTATTATAAAATTTTCATAGACCCAGCAAAGTATCTTTTAATAATGTAATGATAATTTATTTTTGTTCCATAATCATTTTTGTGAATTGTGCTGTGCCGTGACATTGCATCGGAAAATATAGGTAATACAAACCGGAAAAACTCGAAAACAATGATGTGATTGTCATAATATAAATAAATAGATGACAAACTATATTAATGATAAAGTAGTAAACGTTGGTGATAGAAATTATAAACAATAAATATAATCGTGAAGTAATGAAATATAATTATTAATCATAGAAATATAAACAAAAATATAAATCATTGTAAAGTAATGAAATATATCATTATGATAATAAAGTGTAGTCACGATGAACGAATAAAAGAATAATTGCGTTTATTTAATTGTTGAAATTGAAATTGAATTGGCAATTCGACTTTCTTTTAAGTTCCTTAATGGCAATAAAAAAGAGAAAAATCAACATATTACTACTCGGTGAGACCGGTGTAGGAAAGTCCACATTTATAAATGCCTTCGTGAATTACCTCAAATTTGATACGTTAAATGATGCAAAAATTGGAATTCTGGAAGTTCTTATCGCATCCAAATTCTCAATTATGGAAAATAACTTTGACATAAAAACAATACAAATTGGAGATGAAGATACAAACGAGAAACTAGATACGGTAGGAATGTCTGCCACACAAGGATGTAAAAGTTACGTATTTAAGGTTAATAACAAGTTCATAAGGTTGATCGATACTCCGGGAATAGGTGACACTAGAGGAATAGATCAAGACAAGAAAAATTTTGATAACATTCTAAAATATATCGGATATTACAAGTATCTTAATGGAATTTGCATTCTTCTTAAGCCAAACCAATCACGTTTAAATGTAGTATTTAAATTTTGTATTCAAGAATTGTTATCACATCTTCACAAGAGCGCAAAGGACAATATTGTCTTCTGCTTCACCAATGCTAGAGGAACATTCTATCGTCCAGGGGATACATTACCAGCACTAAAATCACAACTAAATGAGCTCAAGAAAAGTTCTGGTGTCGAAATAAAAATCAACAAAGATACGATGTATTGCTTTGACAATGAATCATTTAGATTTCTATCAGCAATCAAGGGAGGAATATCTTTTACAAAAGATGATGAAAAAAGTTTTGCAGAAAGCTGGGAAAGATCAGTGAATGAATCGTTTAAACTCGTGTCGTATCTTACATCGATAACTCCTCACAAAACAAACGATACTTTATCGTTAAACCATGCTAGAAAAATAGTGTTACTTCTTTGCGAACCTCTTGCAAAGATAGGGCAAAACATCCATACAAATATTAGTCTGATAAGAGATCAGCAAATAATGATCGAAAACTCCAGCCAATCCATAGAGCAGCTTGAAGAAAGGTTATACATACCACATATTGACCTTGTTTCAAAACAGTTGGGTCATCCAAGGACTGTATGCACTAGCTCAAAATGTATTGACATCTTGAATCTTGGAGAGACAAATTCAAAAATAGTTAATCACAAGACACATTGTCATCCACACTGTTATTTGAGCAATGTTGAACCTAATGTATTAAATAATCCAGCATTGCTAGAATGCTTTGTCATGAGCGATGAAATTTGTAGAAATTGCGGCTGCAGATGGAATAATCATATGCATGTAATGATCGAGCACAAGGAAGTTATCAAAAAGATCGTTGATAAAAATGTAGAAAATCAGATCAGTGAAAAGAAATCGGATCAAGAGAAAAAGAAAGCAGTTATAGAAGATAAACAAAAACGAATCGATCAGCTAACAAAAGAACAACAGGAAATAACAGATATTAACGTCAAATTTGCACAATTTTTAAGTCAGAGCGCGATAGCCATTTTCAATAATGCATATCTGGACTACCTAGATCATTTCATTGAACAAGAAAAACTTAAAAAGTGTGCCGATCCTGATAATTATGATGACAAAATCCTCAAAGGAATTAAAACTTCAAAAAAAGAATACATGGAAAAGATAGAAATTTTAAAGAAAGCAATTGCGAAAAAGGATCCAACGGTTCAACCAGTCTCTCCAGAAGATGTTTTCAATCTCGAACAACGATTGTATACTCTACCAATTAACGGTCAAACACTAAAAAATATAAAAGATGAAGCGGAACGTAGCGTAAATAATTCATTCAAATATAGAGAAAAGTGCTATTCATTTTCAGGTGAAGGAAGTTTTATGACAAGAGTTATAAGTGTTATAAGTTTTATACGATCTTTTAATCCATTTAATTTTTTATAATTTATAAACTGAATTATCCTGAACGTCGAGTTTAATCTTCCTTTATATTCGAACTTTTTCTTTTTTTTCTATTATTAAATATGTAATATCGTATTTTAAACTGAATTAAACTTTTAAATTTCCTTTATAATTGTTGGTATAATTGTTGGCTTCAGTTTTTTTTTATAATTAGCAGATTCTGCACAACGAGTATAAACTGCGCAAAATTATGTCAAAACCATGTTACCTATATTTGTGTAATCCGTTTCCTTCTATTGTTCTAGTATCCTGTTCAAAAGTCCGAGATTCAACCTCAGATTACTTTTGCAAAAAAAAATTTCATCCTTACCTGGGACTTTTTGAACAGGACAGCGCCTCATATTCTATCTAATCTAAAAGTAATAGATAAAAATGATACGCGAATAAGATAGTTTTTTTTAATTGAATATTCGAAAATAATTATACGAAAATAATTATAAAAAACGATATATTGACGATTAAGATATAATTTATATACAGATTTGACTGACTGTTTCACTATGATGAATAAATCAAATTTCGAAAAAAAAACCAGCTTTTTTTGGGAAGGAAAAAAAATGGACCATTTTTTCTTAAAATGTTAGGCTGGTTTTGACTGTTCATATTAGAAAAAAAGTGTAAACTTGATCAATTTTGTTTTCTCATCTCATTATTATTAATAATAAGTTCATCTGTAAAAAAAAAATTTTTACAGCAATTGTATTGATTGAAAAACAATTTGCTTAACTTTAATTATAAAATTGATTTTAAATGTACCACTTTTTTTTTTTAAAAATAAAAATTTATAAATTTTAAGATTTAATAGAAATTAACCAGTGATAATTTAAAAAGTTTCATGAGAAAATAAATTTTATTGTAGTTATTTAACGAAGTAAAATTTGATTGATATTGCTTCTAAACACGGGACGAGAGTGGCGCAGTCGATATCTTTGTAAAATTGTATAACGAATTATAAAACAAGAATCATCATCCTTTATGACCGCTACAACTTCTATTCTTAAAATAAAATTTTGTCATTAAGAAAAAAAAAAAAAAAATTGCCGAGTCTTAAATTCATTTTTTAAAAGTAAAATGAATGTTCCGGAAATGCCGGTGACATCCGGAAAACGAACGCAATTTTAAGTGCGTTATCTGTGCATGTTCCGGAAATTACGGATGTTTTCCGAACTTTCCGAACATTCGTCGAATGTCTCGTGACCATTATAAATTCGAAATAAATGATTTCTCTCGTATTGTATAAATTACTAACCGATATAGTAATAGATATTATTTGGTAATGGCTTGTTTATTTATGGAAATTCTTTGTGCAATAGTCTCCTGAATATCCAAGCATTAAATAATCAATTGCATACATTGATTTACATATTACATTTCCTATTTCTTGCTCATTCAAAAAATTCATCGACATTAAACTTTTTTTTTTTCCAACATGTCAGCAACATTCCATTCTAGTCTCTCAAAAGACCTTTCTTTAATATTTAACGATGCCGATGATTTTAACGTTATCATTAATGTCGGTGATGTCGAAAGTGCAAAAGAATTTCGAGCGCATTCAGTCATTTTACGCGCGCGATCACCATATTTTAAGAGCGCCTTTTCTGCTGACTGGATTATCAAGGAAGATAATATTATCATATTTAATAAACCCAACATTACTCCGACCGTTTTTGACATGCTTTTAAGGTAAGTTGTAATTTCTATATTTCGACCTCAACTTTATTCAATTATAATTTAAAATTAATTTAAAAATATTTTTGAAGATATATTTACACAGGTGAAATCAATTTATCAAAGCAGAAGGGCGAAGATGTACTTGCATTGTTAATTGCCTCTGATGAATTGCTGCTGGATGAACTATTCCAATTTGTACAGGTTCACTTGCTTGAGAGACAAATTAGCTGGGTTCAACAAAATTTTGTTCTCGTCCTTCAAACCGTTTTCAAGCTTGCTAATTGCAAGGCACTACAAGATTATTGTCTTGAATCAATCTGTGCAAATCCACAACCATTTATCGCTTCGAACCATTTCTTGTCACTTGATAAAGATATACTTATTGGCTTGCTTAAAAGAGATGATTTGCAAGTGGAAGAAATTGATGCATGGGACTGTTTAATCCAATGGGGTATTAAACAAATTCCTGATTTGGAGAGCGATAGAGCTAAATGGGATCAAAAGGATTTTAAAGCATTGGAGAAAACGTTAAAGGAACTCGTCCCCTTTATTCGATTTATGGAAATTTCACCTATTGAGTTTTATGACAAAGTTCGTCCTTATAAGGTTGTTATTCCCAATCATATTTGTGACGAAGTTGAGGCATTTCATTATAAAAAAATCTTACCAAAGATAATAACTTCGCGTCCTCGTCTGGGTAGACTGGAATCAACGATAATCAAACCAAAACTTGTAAATATCATATCTAACTGGATTGACAAAAATGATTCTGCCGTACTTTCATCTAATAATAAATACAAGTTTAATTTAATTTACCTGAAAAGTCGTGATGGTTTTGATTATAAGACATTCAATAATAGATGTAAAGGACAAGGACCATTTGTAGTATTGATAAAAGTTCGATCAAATACGATCTATGGTGGTTATAATCCAATCGGTTATGATGAAAGGTGTCAATGGGTAACGTCATCGGCAAGTTTTATCTTCTCTTTTGAGAATGATCAAGATATACAGAATATGGAAATTGGCAGGGTCATTTTTGCGAAGAAAGCTATATATGAGCATTGCAATGCATTCTTTAATTTTGGAAGTCATTTATTTGTTAAAGGACGAGACCTTTTCCTTAGTAATCCCGGACATTATGTTAATATATTTACCAACGTAGATATCAGTTTGCCTATTGAAGAGATTGAGATTTTTAGTATAGTTAAGAAGTAATTCATTTATTTTTATTTACTTTATTTTCTTGTCCTTCCCCATTTTAATACTTGATTCTCGCAATGTTCACAAATTCTTTTATTATGAATAATTCGATAAATAAGTCACATTTTATTTTATTTTGTCGATTAAAATTTAAGCTAAACTTTAGAAATGTAATATATCGATCCCAAAACTAAGGAAAATAACATGATTCGTATAAATTTTATGGGTTTTTTTTGTAAATTCTTGTACTCTTTTAATTATAATAAATTCATTAATTATTTCCTCCTTGATATTAACTATATAATGTGAAATTATTTCTAAAAAATACACTTTTTAAATTTTTTTTTTTTATTCTCAGCAATATCATGGTAAAAACTTTTTAATATAAAAAAAATGTTACCCTCCTAATTTCTATGAGAAGTAAATTATATTAAATATTAAAAACGAAGTTAGCGAAAAATGACCAATGTCGATCACTTGGAAATTTATAACTCACGAATTTTAAAGAATAGAAAAAGAACAAAGAATTCAAATATCACTACCACAGTCGGTGGCATTAAAAATATATTCATAATCCATCCTATTAAAATTTCAAAGATGAACGAAGTTTTTTTATAATAAATTTTCCTTCCCAAGGTTTCATTATTTTCTCAAGTCAACAAACATTAATTTACTTTTTATTTAGTTCGTCCATGTATAATTTATGTAGTATTTTTAATTATTACAATTCGCTACTGTAGTTAGTTATCTCATTAGAACCTTTATGAAGACACGAAAAAGATTGAAAGATTAAAATAAGCAAAATTTTTTTTATATTCAGAATTCTACAAGCCTTTTCTTAAAACTTGTCATCACAAGCCAGAATATTCTAACTAGACTTTGGGAGAAACTCATATAACTCGATATTTTTCTCAGTTTTTCTTTAGATTGAATTCCCGATCTATTTATACAAAATCGTTGTTTCAATTTACTAGCAGTTACAGTATATTAATTAAATAAACAAAACCAACATAATAAATATAATAAATAAAACAAATATAATAAATTTAGATAAATAAAATAAATATAATAAAATAGATAAATAAAATAAATATTTAAAACATATTTGATAACATAGCAGACATATTTGACATGCACGGCAGTTGCTGCGCCAATCATAGCATTGACAACAATGGCCTAAATAGTGCTCCGAGCCGGTCGAATCGACCCGGGTCATTCGACCCGACTCGAGAAAAAATTCGAGTCGGTACTATCATTT